TTAATGTAATTTCACTTATCTACAATTTATTTTTTAAAGTAACAGCTAAAAAGTAATTTACCATTTTTTAGTCCTTAATATGCTTTTTTTTGTCAAATAACAGCAAATATATGTAAAATGATTAAATTGTTTGCTGGTGTAAATACCGTTATTTCAAAAAATGTAATTATACAGTCAAACTTTGTTTTTAAAAAAAAAAAAGAGTATAATGAATAAAAAAAATTAAAAAGAAACAGAGTTTTTAATGTTTTATTTCTCATGGTTTCCATCATTTACTTTTTCAGTAATTTTACTGGATATTATCTGTAATTAACAAAACAGGGAAAATCTGTAAGATAACAATAAAATAAATGTGTTCATAATGTTTTAAACATGTCAAGTTCTCTTTTAATAAACATTAAAAAACAATATCAATAATATTTCATAATCATAACACATATGATCTGATGTAAAATTAAGACTTAAGACATATTTTTATTTGGGAAAATTACAGTATTTTTATGAGACGGTGTTTTCATTAATATACTATTTAGACTGTCCAGCTGCTGGGATTTATTTAGTATTTTATTATTTAGTAATAGGTAATTATGTATGGTAGGTAATTATCATTCATTAAGCAATAAAAATAATAATTATTAGTAATAGTAATAATAATAATAATATATTTGACGCCCCAGCAGACCAAATACTAACATTTATTTTTGTACATTTACTGTATTTTGAACAGTGCAGCTGCTGCCCCCGTGCAGGACGACACACTGTCAGGAGTTTAGATGATAAACGGGCGAGCTGCAGGTAACCGCTATTGATTCCTGTGAAGCGGCACAGGGGCAGAAAACCGCCGCAGCACCAACAATGTCAAACCGCAGGCGGAAGCTAACCGGTATCGACGCAACGTTTAGCAGCAAGCTGTTTGTCTCTGACTGCCGTCGACGTCTGCAGAGACAAACGACGCCAACGGAGGAGTCGCTGAAGGACACGACGGCGGCCATGACGGCTCAGTCTGATCCACAACCAGCTCCACACATCAGTCCTCCAACTTATCACCGGCACCATCAGAGATCAGTCCGAGCTACAGGCCTAAACCCATCGTCACCGTTTGTCGTCGCTCGATGTGATTTCAGAAGTGTAACTAATAAAGAAGGTTTCATTCCTGTGTGAGAGTTTTGAACGGAGGCTGTAAGTGTCCCATAAACGTCCTAATTAGCTCCGACAGCTCAACACGTATGTAAACACACGGGCCGGCCGCTCGGCTTCACCTACACTTGTAAAAACACTGGAACACAGACGTGAGGCCTCCTCCCAGCCTGAAACCCGACCCGCCGGGCCCAAACAGCAGCCCGGTTCCACCCCATCCGAAGCTGGGAAAAGGGCGGCCGTGACCCCGACGCTCCCCGAGCCTGACCTCTGGGCTTAACGCGAAACCACAACAGACATGGACGTCCCGCTAACTGGAGCTAACGAGTGATTTAAAGGCTTGTTTTCGTGTCATGTTGTCCCTAAAATTTACAGCGTTTATGGCATTAGGCCTTTATTAGAAGGGCTTCTCCTGTTTTTTTCTACACCATGAACTAATGTGTGAGATGTTTAAGTACAAAAAAACAAGTTTTGTTGTTGCTTTTTCATATTTTTGTTTATTTTCCAAAGCAGCTTGCAACTCCAGTGTTGAAATGTGATACGGAAATACATATATATTCTAATTTTAGCCAAATCTGATCCCTCTATGGCATTAAATATGGGATGTTACGCAACAAAGGTCCTTAGATGGACTTTTCCAATAACTAATCAATGTTTTTATCATTCTTTTTGAATGTTTAAAGCTGCTTTTCAGTGTTTAATCATCATTATGAGGCGTTTTCCTGTTATTTACGACTATCTGATGAGCAAAAAATGTTATGTTGAAGTAGGTAAAACGAAGCCGATTGATTTTAAACCAAGTTTAAGTAACTCAATAAAGCTCCTGTGAGGTCGGGAACTCGGGTCCGATCTGGAACGAGTTCACTTCAGAAAAACCTCCATGCTGGTAATGAAGTGCATGAGACTTCAGAATTCCTTTTAAATGACGTGGAAACAGAACCTCACGTCTACGAATAATAAACTTAATAAAGTCATTAAAAACACCTTTGATTGCGGCGGAGAAGCTAATCGTTCTGAGTTGACTGAACTCCAGAACAAAGCTTCAAACTCTTGTGTTAACTTTTCAGATTACATAACGAGTCCCAAAGCGGACGACAAAGAAAACGCTATAAATACTGAGACGGGTCGTTGTGATCGCAGCAGCTACGGGCTTTAATCCAGCATCGAAGTTCTCGGGGAGACTTTAGAGGTAACGCGACACCTTCCTTTCGGGACATTGTTCCGTCGGTTTCCAGTCACAGAAGCACCGCAGACGTTACGTAGCGACTCAGACGATTGGAAGCAGCCAAACCGAGCGACTTGGTGTCGCTGGAGGTCGCGGCGGGGATCAGTGGGTCAGCGCAGCTCCGTCCAGCCGGGCAGCATCCCAGAGATTTAGCCACCTGTTCCAGGCTGATGGGGACTGAAGCGGTGCTCGTCTCTCCTCGGGGGCCTTCCACTAACTGATTGCTGAGCTTTCAGTCTAAAAATAAACTGGGTTTACTGACTCAGAACTTTTATGAATGAGGTAAAAATAAATCAAGAGGCTGCTGATTCAGAGACGTGGAGGCAGAGAACCGACCGGCTATTTCCTGCTTAACTCATTCCCCAGCGTTTCCCACCTAAACAAACGGCCTCCCTGATGCATATATTAGTGACTCACATGTGCCGATGCTTTTGTTAAGCAGCTATTCTGCGGCTAATTCCCTCTAAGAGCCATACATTTGCTAAGATGGCTAATGAGGCTAAAGACCCCTCACAGTGGGCGAATAGTCTCACAGCCAACAGCAGAAAAATGTCCCGGACCTGCATCTGACTGCATGTTTTTAACCAAATACCATGTGTATCGTCAAACAAATGTGCTACAGCTCTAGTTTATCTCTAAGTCATCGCTTCACTAACAGACAAAACGACGCCTCAGACAGGGACGATTCTTTCTTCTTGAGGTCATACAAGCGCTGAATCTTCTGCAGAAACCATAATTAAATCCATTTATAGTCTTTTATATTCTGAATTGTCAACTTTTGTGTTTCCTTTGACTTAAATAAAGACATTCTCAGCTTAAATTAATGCAAAAAAAGCCCCCAAACCCCCACAAATTGGTGCATAAAGCTTCACTGAAATGCAGGAAACACATCTGGTTTGAAAAAAGGTGTAGATTTTAAATCCCCCCTGAATATTTACCACATGTGTATTTATTACCATGAGTCGACACACGAAAGAAGAAGCACTTTTATTTTGAAATACCTACTCATAGATGCTGCAGTGCATCAGAAATCTGCAGAAACTTGAGCGCAAATCTTACTAAAACACATCTGAGTGATTAAAATCTATTTTTAAGAAAAAATACATTTAAATGTTTCGCACATTTAAAGAGGTGCCAAACAAGCGCCATGTGCACATTTGCAAAAAAAAAAAAAAGACAAACAAATACGTTGTTCCTGTATGTGTGTGATGAATCAGCTGCGATCAAATTAAAGGACGATGGTTGATCTTAAAGGTGTGCCTTAACTTTGAGCTTTCCTGCACAAATACAAAGACATTCTGACCTTGAATTGATGCCGAAAAGGCACAGATTGGTGCATCAAGATTCATCAGAAATAAGAAAAAGACGTTTTTGATGGTCAAAATGTCTTCACGTCTCCCCCAAATATCTACGTCTGAAGCTCCGTCTGTCTAAAAAAATGTCAAATACATGTAGTTTGACTTCAGGAGGTTAAACAAGAGACAAATTTCCCTCAATATTTAGAACAGTTGCTCTTGTTCCTCCGATAAAAACATCAAAGAAGCGCTTTTATTTTGCAAAAAGACGTAACGTTTACTCAGAGATGCAACAGCTGAATGTGCTACAAGTTTTGCACCTGAGCAGAAATCCAGGAGTTTCTAAATATCTAAAAATGAGCTCATCATTGATGACAAAGGAAAAAGGTGCCACATGCACATTTGCAAACAAAAGACAGACAAATAAATGATTCCTGTGTGTGTGTGATGAATCAGCAGGGATCGAATTCAAGGAGGAAAGTCGATCTTAGAGGATAATAACTGTGTCGGTCATCTGGTGCCTTCATTTTAAGCTTTCCTGCACAATAATAAAAACATTTTAGCCTTAAATTGACGCAGAAAAAGGACAAATTGGTGCATAAAGATTGATCAGAAATAAGGAAAAGACGCGTTTGATGGTCAAAATGTCATCACGTCTCCTCCAATGTTCAAACGAAGATCATATTAGAACTAAAAGTCACTCTAAAAGCTGTAGTTTTTCCACCCACAGGAGTGCATTTCAGGAATAAATCCCCCTCAACAGTTGCTCTCGTTTCCCCGATAAAAACATGAAAGAAGCGCTTTTATTTTGAAAAAGAAAAGCCATAACGTCCACTCAGAGATGCAACGACTGAATGTGCTCAAAGTTTTGCACATGAGCAGAAATCTTCAGCAGACATTTAAGTTTCTAAACATATAAGAATAAATTAAATCATCATGGATGTAAAGAAAAAAGAAGAAAAAGGTGCCACATGCAAAGACAGACAAACGATTGGTGTGTGATGAATCAGCAGGGATCGAATTAAAGGAGGAAAGTTGCCTTCATTTAGTGTTTTCCTGCACAAATAAAAAGTCAATTCGACCTTAAATTGATGCAGAAAAGGCACAAGCTGGTGCATAACAGTGGACCTTCTCTACATCCCTACATCTGTGAAACCCCGCCCTGGACCGGGAGTCAAACCTGCATCCAGGAGGACGTTTCAAACACACACCCCAAAGAAAACACACACACACACACAGATGGACGGACGGACAGACGACACACGGCGGCATCACGCCTCCTCTCCGGAGCAACAAGTCGACAGAGACAAGAGGCAGAACGAAGGAAAAAGCAGGTGACTTACCCGACTTGCGCTTGGATCCATAGTCCCTGAAGGAGAAGCAACACAAGAGGGACATGGTTAGTGACGGACCCACAACAAGTCACCGCATGCGGACTAAACCTCGAGCATGCAATCGGCTTTAGCGACAAAACGCCACAGTAAAAGGGGGGAATGAGGCTGCGAGGGAGGGAGGGAGGGAAGGAGGGAGGGATGACTTTGGCCGGCTGCCTGAAACTCCCCGCAACAGACACAAATCAGTCATGTGACCACGGCGGCAGCACCACCATCCTCTTCCTCCCTCCTCCTCCTCCTCGGTGGGGAGGAAGGCGACCTCTCCCCACGTCCAAACGCAGGAGGATCCCTTTAAGAAGCCTCTGCCTAATGGGCTCTAATGGGATTATGCTGAGCTATAGATCGAGGAGGAGGAAGGGGGGGATGTGTGAGGTCTGCTGTGCGGAGCTTCTGTCCTTGTCAATAGTGACTTTCAGATAGATGAAGGCAAAAAAAAAAAAAAAAAAAGGTGCTATTTATAGACAAGCAGACCTCCCTCCTGATCAGAACCTAACCTCAGATTTCGCCACGTCATCCCCGCTGCAGCACAAACCAGAGCCAGGCACAACTAAAAAACACCAGCCGCTCAAACTGTGTCGTCTTTCCCTAAAAACAAAAAACGTCAGGGATGTAGCAGATGTGGACGGTGATGAAACGAGGCCCAAAAACACTCGAAATACACCGAAATTCTGATTTAAAGTGGATTTTTATTTGGCCGACGGGTAAAAATGAAAGAAAAAAGTGAGAATGAACAGTCAGTGTGTTGGTGATGAATCTCAAACACCTTAATGTCATCAACAGTCTGTCTGCTCGTCTCCACCGGGATGCTGCTCCTCCACACATGGATCCAACATCTTCACATGTATTCACCGTTTCTTCACCACTTTGTCTGGACGTTTTGGGTTTTTTTTTTCTTCTGCAGACTGTCTGATGTTTTCCTCCTCTTGTTTCCTCCATTTACATCCAACAGAACCAAGAAGCCTCCTCCTCTGTCCAGGTGAGGCTCTTGGTTCTGTCTCCGTGACGACCAGCCTTGTTCTCTGCTCACATTCATCAGGAGGATCTTGGGGCTCTTTTGACCACATTGTCTGAGATTTTTCCTTGTAGAAGTCCTTGTACTCTTTACTCTGCTTCGCCCTGAGGACCTTAAAAACACCTGGATGTGACTTTATAGCCTTTCTAAGTCTTGTGAGCAGCCACGATGAGTAAATCTTTAGTTTTATCTACGACTGCATCATGTGTTCTCAGTAGATAGTGTATTAAAACGCTCTACAACTTGGTACCAAATGAAATGTCTGCATTTTGTCTTATATTTGGCACAATTTCAGGTGATGTGAGTAATTTAAAGCAGTGGTCCCCAACCTTTTTTGCACCACGGACCGGTTTTAAGCAAGAACATTTTCTACGGATCAGTCATCGCAGAATTTTTTCTATTAAAAAGTTTCATAAATTAATAAAACTACTTGCTAAATACGTGTTTGCTTTTCCTTACGGCTCAGTATCGAGTCTCTCCCACTTTCCAAAGAAGCTGAGACGTTTGTCTTCTACTAATTTCAGTGGCGGTTAGACTGACGGCATGAAAACTAATGAGTCCAGTGCGAGAAACAAGCGCAGACCGATGAGACAGGAAGACAAGCTCGTCATTTTTCAAAATAAAACACCATGCAGACTCCGCTGGAAATAAAAATAAACCAATAAAATGTTTTTTTTTTCATTCTGTGCGGCCCGGTACCACATGACCCACGGCCCGGTACCGGTCCGCAGCCCGGTGGTTGGGGACCGCTGATTTAAAGCACAGGATATGGCTCCAATTCATCATTAGCACCTGTAACACACTGTTTATCCACCTTGGTATCAGTTGGCAAGATAAAATCCCAAACACCGACTTGCATCCATCTTCAGGCTCCTTAGCCGACGCCGCCTTCGCTGGCAGAACACCTAAAGATCTGCTGCACGGCGAGTTGTCAGAAGGCTCTGGACCTCGAGGTCGCCCAAGGCTCTGCTTCAAAGACGCTCTGAAAACCTCTGGGATCAGCGTCCAGTCCTGGGAGACCGCTGCTGAGTCAAGAGATTCCTGGAAAGCTGCTGGTACAAAACAAGCCGAGACGTCACGCAGTGCCCATCTGAGGCCAAACAGGGAAGCACGCAAGTCTTCCCGACAAGGTCAAGCAGCCTCTGTACACATCTGTTCTTCATGCCAAAAGGACTGTTGCTCCTGCGTCGGCTTGTGTAGCCAAGAAGTGACTGAACATCCCATCAGAAGGAGGCCGAACATGACTTGTTTGTGTCATTACCAGCCCTTAGAGGAACAAAAAAATCACTCTAAATCAAAATGTGTTACAATTTATGATGATATTAATGATTTAGAAGCTGTTTATCCACCTTCTGCTACTTGTTTGTGTCATTTCCATCCAGAACAAACGTATTACTGAAACCAAAATGTACCGTTTGAGAATACGCCTATGTTGACATTACAAAGAAACGCAGATTCCAGGAAGAGATTCCCCTCAATATGTAGAAAATGTGCACCTTTCCCCCCATAAAACACAATGATGTTGACTCAGAGATGCCACAACATCTCTAGGAGTTTCTAGATGAATAGAAATTATTTCATCGCTGTTCTTAAATAAAGAACAAAAGACAGACGAGTGAATGAACCAGCAGGGATCAACTTAAAGGAGAAAAGTTGAGTATAAAGATCAGCTGGTGCCTGAATTCTGTGTTTTTCTGCACATAAAGACAGTTTCACCTTAAATTGATGCAGAAAAAGTGCAGATTTGCTGTCTGTAGCACACTGTTTTACCACCTTTTGTCATTTCCCGCCAGATAAAAATGGATTGATGAAACAAAAATTCACCGCAAATCAAATTTGGTCCCATTTTCTGGTGACATCAAGAGTTTAATATGTAAAACGAAGCTCAAATTCTTCATGAGCACAAGCAGCATGTTGTTTAACCATCATTTCTCACTTGTTTGTGTCCTTTCTGGCCAGACTAGATGACAAAAATTCACTCTGAATCTAATTTTGTCGCGGGTCTGAATAACTTAGCAGCGGGAGCGTCCTTGGTTCGCTCCCTGAGAAGCAGCCGGTTGCATTAACGGAGGGATGTTGTCGGGGGTGAAGCAGAGCGAGGTGACGCCCTCAACCTGCCCGAGGTTAATGGACACCTCTTGTCGGCTCGCTAATAAAGAGGCGACAGCAGCAGCAGCGTCGTCCATCGTGACACACAGCAGCTCTGTAGTGTCACCGTCCCTCCGTCCCCTGTGATCCGATGCATCTGCCTCTTTGTGAGCGGCCTCGGCAGATGAATGACGCCTTTATGCCGACCTTCCCCGCCAAGAATATGCTTCATTGTCACCAAAGTGGGACGCGGAGAGACGGGACTCGACCTCCATCGCCTCATCCGTCCATCTCGGGCCGCGCTGGACACGCGACCTCTGATTCACGAGGAGCTGGTAGAACTCGGGGCGACGGGCGGCGGCTTACGGCTTCTCGGCGGAAACCGCGCTCCGAGCAGGATGTTTGTCCTTTTCGCTCTCGACTTGCCGCAGTGGCATTAAGGACGTCCGGGGTGGGAGGGGACGCTTTATATCTCATGTTAGCTGCTTCATGTTTGCATTCTCCCAGCAGTCTTGTCTGTTATCTGTTGCAAGTCAATAGATTAGGTAAGCTAACGGCTAACATCATCATGAAACAGGACAGAAACGTACCTCAGCCGTTCCTCCTGTTATTGGCAAAGCTGCACAATCATGATTAAAACAGTGATCGTTTATGGATTTTAGGGGCAAAATATCTGCATGACACGTCTACACATACATAAACTAGGGCTGGGACTCATGAGCATGTAGGAAATAGAGCATCAGGTCCAGTATGTTTGTCTATATGGTTGATTTTTTGTTGTTGATGACGAGCACATCGAGAGGACAGAAAACAATGCCTCAGCTTCGATCAAATAGATTTTCAGCGTCGAGTTGTGTGCAGCAGGTTTTCAGATCTAACTCTGGGTAAGTAGGTTTTTGTCTTTGTTGAAAACGGCCCTTAAACAGTTTCTTCAGGACGGATCTCGCAGTCGGAACATGCACAAAGGTCGAGGTCGCTCTAAAACACCCTCTGCAGTGAGATAAAGCTCAAAGGTTGGACTTGTCTTCACCCGGAGGCCTGTCCGGATTTTTATAAAACACAATCATCTCACATTTCATTCATTTTCTGCTCTTACTTTGTGTTTTCGGTGCTGAATGTGGTATTAATAAAGACAAAAACTCTGCTCCAATTACACAAAACACAAGCGACCCGGTGTTGCCCCTCCGCCACTGCAAACACGGTTTTATTTGCCCGCTGGATTCCTGCTGGGTTAATTGAACAAGCTAACGGCAAACGATCGGCACGCGGTGACGATACAATAGTGTGGGACCTGGAAATGTGTGGCTGTAACTTATCGGGGAGGTGAGGACGGCGGAAAGCAGCAGCAGCATGAAAAGCACTTTTCTGTAGCAGCTCCCAGGGAGCCTGTTAAGCTATTCACGCTGTGCTCGGTTAGAAAGGCAAACACAACCTCCAACAAACAAGCTCCAATCAGGGGGAAAGCAGAGGCGTGAGCGCTGCTCCGCTTCGGCCTGAGCAGCGTTTGATTCCTTCCTTCTGATCCTGATAAAGATGATAAAGAGCCTTTTGTTTGTTTTGTGTTTTTTTTAATCCCGACACGCAGATCGGATCGACCGCTCGTGTTTTCACCGCCGCCATGAGAAGCAGGTCAAAGCGAAGGTTAGCTCGTGTTGTGAGTGGGCGGCATTAGCGCGCTAACACAACACGCGTATATAGCAGCTAATCTCTGGAGCAGCCAATTAGCACCTAAAGTCACCTAATTTTGTAGCAGCAACACAAAGCAAAGACGTTTAGCGTGTTGGCTAACTCGTAGCGGTGGGAATGCAGCTGGCGTTATTTTTAGAGGTACGGAGGCATCTGTGAAGCATTAGGCCGCAAAGGAGGGGCAGAATC